TGTTGGAACCTTTGGAAGTGTTAAGATCGCGCTCCAATCTTCCGGATTTCGTATGGAACTTTTTACACGACCACAACCGGGCGGGAAAGTATTATATCAGTCCTCAAAGACATGCCCTGGCTGCTGTCAATATTATAGAAGTTATAGCAATTGGATTTCAGCAATGCCAGTGAGTTATAAGCAAATTTTTACACAGATTGAACTATGACTATAACTTTGCGGTTTAGTGACGATGAATGGGTTCAGAGATGTTTAGGTAGGATGGAAATAGGGCTAGATTTGAACCTCAAGTTTTCCTCCCCTTCTTCGATATTATATGAAATCATTCGCTCAAATGCAGATGTTTTCATGAACATAATGAATCGACATTCTCTCGGCGGGGAGTCATCAACAAGGGCAATACTTCTCTGGCTAAAGGTATACATATCCAAATACTCTCCTGATTCGATTGTGCACTTAAGCACTTATTTTTTCAACGTAGAAATATGCAGCAGCATCTCCTGAGGTAATTGGCCAGTGGGAGGAGATCTTGAAAGCCTCTAGTTTCGGCCGAATATTTGCTTCCAGACAGGATTTACGCATAAGTTATGACCTCAGATACATACTGTGGAGGCTAAGCCTACCATGGCATAGAGTTATCTTGGCCGATTGCTTGGATCTTACCATCTGTGCCGGCCTCGTTTCGCAAATATTCCCGATTAGTCTGATTATCTTTTTCATTGTCGCTGCTGGCTTCTTCCTTCCACACTTAAATTTCTATTTCACAAGTACATTTGTCTCCAACTTCCCGAGGTCTTTGGGATTGTAATTTTTTGTAAGATTAATTACCAGATGACAATCATTATCCTTATCAATAGGCTCATGAGTCCATCAACCAATGCAAGGGGAGGAGGAGGAAAAGTTATAGGAAACTGTCATTATAGAAGAGCGCAGGGCATTCTAAAGAGACTGTCCATCATCAGCTGTTTCCATTATCATACAAATCATATACTAAATTTAGGACCGAGAACTACACAAGCGAGATATGAATTATAGTCGACACAATTCTAAAGCTCCTTGCAATTTTTTTAAATGCACCACATACTAGAATAGCTACCTAAGGATGAACAAATAGAACATCCAGTACATGATACATTTTATATTATGTCTTTTGGCAATGTTAGATAGTGGTTGGCGATAAAAAATGGAAAGCAATGGTTTGAAATGGATATAGTGATGGCGACTTGCATAATTGAATGAGAATAATGCCAAAGAATCATTAAGGAGATAGCATACAGCCTCGACAGTGAGGATTAAAATATTACATTCCATGAGAGACAGGAAAGGATGTAGTAAGGACCTAGATCTTTTTGCTAGAAAATCAGCTTTAGCAGATATGCTCTATCAAGTAGTAGTAGACGTACAGAGGCAAAAGAGACTTGCTCATTTTTACTGAGGGCTACGAGCATCATTATGATAAACAATTCAGCCAAATAGATGCAAAACTTCAGGGGTAGCTTGCGGATCCTGTAAATAAATACTCAGGAAGAATTGATAATCTATCATAGACTTTCAAACAAGTTGAGCTGATATATTGATATATTCTCTAAGCGAACTAAAGACTCTTCGTTCATAGCTCCTATCAGTTACCCATATCTCTAACAATTCAAACAGAGGCAATTCAGTCCATTCACTTATTATATATGATCAGATTTAACATACTATAGAAGAAATAGCCTGAGGGGCTATTCCATTTGAATCTCTTTCAGAGTGTTCCCATCACCATGAGTTCGTCCGTTTGATTTTTTAGCTTTATTTTTCCGAATCTAAGGTGTAATCTCGAAACCACCACAGTACAAAATACCCATGAGAATCTACAAGCTAATAATCAGATCAATAGGCGGCAGATATTAGCTGAATAGACACACGGTGTAGATAGCAAGCTTGTTGCCTGCTGGAAGGTTGGTGAGCTTACATAGCTGTTGGTAAAAAAAAATCATAATAGAGCTCTTACATTTCCAACTGTCATCAAAATAACTGTAGTGATCCTAAGCACTGAAAGAGTGTTATCTCGTCACTTTAAACAAAAATAAATATTAAAAAACCTAAAATTCCCTGGAGAATGATTAATTCCTTGAATATTTATGTAGCGGTAGATACGTGGTCACCTACCCAAAACATCCGGATGCCATCCCGGCGGAGAATGAATAGAAGTTCACTGTCCCTCTGGCGTGGTTGAGCTAATGCATTCCAAACCATGAGAGCGAGAACCACTGTATCGAAGAAAAGCTGAGGACCCAACGTTAGTATGTTGTGAAACAGCACCAGCCGACATTTAAAGGCATACTAGCAGTGCAAAAATCCATTTTCCAAACTCCAGTACTTCCAACAGAATGCAACTCTGAATTGGACTAAAGAATATAACAAGTTCTCAATGCAAAATTTTAATTTAGTCCTCTGCTAGTCATCATTCACGATATAATCCAACTGGACATACCTTGCGTTCGTATACATTGTACAACGACTAAGATCGTGGCTGTAATGTTCGTCATTGCATAGGTAAGCCCGATCATAATGGCAACAATTCTGCGTTGGTTTGAAAGCGTGTAGATCCTGAAAGCTACGATGACTGCGCAAACTGTTCATTCTCCCGGGATACTGTGAATGGCATGAACTCACATTGGTAAGAAGCGCTGAATATGATTCCGGGAATACAAAACATCCAAAGCCATAGACGACAGCTGATGGTGGCTTGTCAAACATGTCAATTCTGGGTGTTGTATCTGTAACTCACACCTAACACTACAAATTAATCCCCGCCCGTGTCAATGTGCAGTAATACTCACCGTGTTATTCAGATTATTGGTATTTCCTGTTGTGACTGGAGCAGACAGGATTGAAATGAGGGCGCCGCATCTCCAGAAAATTTGACTCTCACCATAAGTTGAATACGCGAACACAATGTCCGGAACATATCTGGATACAATAAACATGGATTTGAGCATGAAAGGCTCGGCGTGGTTATTCCAGATGGCATCTATTTCTTCTCCAAAGTTCAAAATATGATCCCAAATAATCAACGAGAACGAGGCCGCTATTGACAATATTCAGTTTTATCAGGTTAAGGATCGAGAACCTGATACAACCCACCAAAAGAATATTTCAGAGCCAATGCCTCAGTACCAAGAACGATGAGGGAATCTATTGTAAGCGATGATGATTTCAGAGCCATGCCAAGGGATCCTGAGGGTAAGACGGCGCAATACTGTTTATTTAAGCAAAGGATGCCATAGACATCTGATATGATTCTTGCTTTCAGAACATGATTGTCACCGGATCAATTATAACACAGCTATTGTCCTCAACACATCTTGTTCTTGAACAAACAATTAGTTGAATGAATCATATAATGACTAGATAACCCGTAAAAATATCATGATTTGATATTACATCTTCAATGCACCTTGTTCTTGAATAAATGGTTAGTTGAATCAATTATGTAATGATTGGATAACCCGCAAAATATTATGATTTGATATTATATCCTCAACGCATCTTATTCTTGAACAAATGATTAGTCGAATGGATCATGCAATGATTGAATAGCCCACGAAAATATTATGATTTGATGTTAAACCGTGTGTGTTATTGAAAGAAGTACACATGCATCATGCCGTAGCTTCATCTTATACCGGAGCAGTGCCAATCATAAACTGAAAAGATGAAGGCGTAATCCTATTGTACTAGAATGAGAAACCATCACTTGACACTGGCCTACATCGCCTCTCAATCATACATCGCCAAGTCATCTACGGCTGCTCTTCCCAAAGATTATGAAATCAGTAAGCAGCTTCGGTGTTGTAAGTATCACGAAAACGATGTATTTTATATAGCATGAGAATTCTCGGAATGTACCTAACATCCACGCGCTTGTCATAAGTGAACGTAATTATATAAGCTATGTGACATTTGGTATCAACTCTTGTAATCCGTAATTCTGGCTGCAATCGCCCTTTCACACCATTTCGCTTTTGTGTGATCAAATGAAATTGTTGTTTAGATTCCAGGTAGTAGTCGGACCGTATGTTTGAAGGAAGATATCGGTGGATAGGTAGACAAAATGTAAGATGAAGATGAATGATGAAGGCGTGAATGTTAAAATAAGCGACGGGAACGTTTGACCTTGGTGAGCTCCTGAGGCAAACGGATAGTGTACAATCTCGAAAGTACACTACTTATATACGAAATATCTACATAATTAGATAAATGTCAAAATGAAACTCAGCCACAAAAATCCAAATATGACTGTGGGCATAGTCCGGATCGTGCTCACTCGTAAAACTTAATTAAAATATTCCAACAGTGAAAGGACGGGTAGATGAGAGACGCTGGTCAAAATGGATCTCCGAATAGGAGAAGCGGTCCAGACAATTGGCGGCTGAGTATTGGTACTTATCCAATTAGTTACCAGGACGTGGTGCTAGATGGCGAATACCTGTAATGTATCATTTGTAGAAGTGTGAATTCATGGCTGCCTGCTCCTTTGGTCCTTTATATTTCTGGTGAATAACGACGCGATGGTGCTATATTTGCTAGTCGACTTTGGAGATAGAGTAAGTGACGTATTATAAGTGCCAATGATTTTCTGAGTGACGCTAATGTTATCATTGCCGTAGATATTAGTATCCATCGTGGCTTCAAGTTACAGAATGCAACTTGTGGTGATTTCGAATAAATCGCATCCTTTGGCATTCAGTGGACATAAAATTCATGCAGGAACATCAAAGTTTATGCCGGGCAGCCGGGGTTAGGCCCAAAGCCGATATGGTTAGTAGACTCTCAAGGTGGGATATTTAGATTAGGGTTTAGCATGCAAGCTTTGGCCTTTATAACTGGTTGATCAAGTTAAGATATGAATGTGGCTGTGGAAAGATCCTTGAGCCAGATAAAAGAATCTAGAAAAATCATGGGCTTCCACAAAGTAAATGGATAAAAAGTGTTAAGGATATAAAGGTGTTCATTGGCCAACGTGGGGATCGAACCCAAGACCTTCGCGTTGACATTGTGAATCCACGATGGACCTCTTTCTATATTAGCACAATGCTCTAACCAGCTGAGCTAGTCGGCCCATGGCAACGTGATGTTATTGAAGAACTAGAATGTACACAGAGTTGTGACAAGAAATTTTTTGAACAGTGGATGAGTGGAAAATTAAGTAGGAAAAGAGATGGCGGGAGAGCAGTGAGGGTGTGGAGGAAGGGCGCCGAAAGTTCCATGAACAACCAAAAATAGAAATCAACGATCGGACACCCCGAGCTGAGGAGCTGCGGCCCGGAAATGGGTGGCTGAATGTTGGTGAGCAGTTTGTTATCAGCAACGACGGCATCGCTCTGCGCTTCCATCCACGTCTCATGAATCGCTTCACGCTCATCCACGTACGGTTAGCTAGTACTGCCGCTTCTTCCTCCTCCTCCTTTGCCTCTACCTCTTCAATCCCTGATCCTCTCCTCACTACAAATACCAGCAAGCAAGAGAACCCCTTCCCCTACCCGACTCAACCGCACCCCACTCCTCTCCAGATCTTCCACCTCACCCCCGGGGCGACGCAGGCCGAGATCAAGGCTCGGTGTACGTCCCTTCCCTTCCCTTCCTCCTCGTTCTTTACTCACTCGTTCCTTCTTTGCAGACTATGACCTCGTCCGCGCACACCACCCCGACTCTCAGCTCTCCCGGCTCCTCCCCCAATCAGAAGCACACGCACGCTTCCAAAGCATCTCGGCGGCATACGATGCGCTGCAGAAAGGCCAGCACTGGGATGCGGGCGATCCGTATGCGGAGGAGTTGGAGAGGAGGAGGAGAGCGTATTATCGGACACATCGTGGAATGGGAAGGGGGATGGGACATAATAGGAGGGCTGAGTACGAGAGGCCTTGGACGGGCGAAGGCATGGGAGGAGGATTTGGTGGTAGAGGCGGGAGAGGAGCGCACCAGGGTGAGAAACCCAGCAAGGAGCAGATTTGGAGGGAGAGGCTGATTTTGGGCGTGGGTGTTACAGTGAGTGTCGTCTTTCTCCACTTGTAGGATTCGTCTACCGTTTCTCCATCCTCTCCCTCTTCTTCCGGCCCCTCGTCTCGTCCTTCCTGCTATCTCCATTCTCCTCCTTTACGTCTTCCTTCTCTCGTCTTCTCTCCACTGTTCTTCGCTCACATACTAACCTCTCCCTCTTCGTCCTAGGCCCTTATGCTAGGTTTATACCCCTCCGCCTTCCTCGGGCCTGTACACCTCGACAAAACCCACCGCGAGGCGGTGAGCAACCTTACTCAGGCACGCAACGACGCGAAAGAGCTCGGAGAGCTCCGCCGGGAGAGAGTAAGGGAACGGGTTAAAGAGATCAAATGTGCGGATGGGGAGGGGGAATGGATAGGGGGGAAGGGGAAGGGGAGAGGGAGACATAAAGAGAGCAGGTGTGCGGGTGGGGAGGAGGAACGGACAGGGGGAGAGGGGGAGTGCGAACGGAGGGAGAGGGAGAGGGGGGGACAGCGGGCATCAGAGGACGGGGCGGTGAAGTCGACGTTGGCACCGCCGCCTCCGCCTTCGTCTTCAGTGGCCATGGTGGTTTCGCTGCCTTCAGTGGACACGACGAGCAGCGCCTCCAAGAGCGAGACGAACACCCCCGAGAACCAAGCGGACACCACCCGGACGCAGACGAGCGCCATTGAGAGCGGGACCTCGACTCAGACTTCCACGAGCGCGGCTCATGAGGATACAATGGTGGAAGTTGGCGAGAAGTGATCGAGTGGAGGGTGGCCACTGGACTGGCGCTGGGGACGCGGAGGGGCTGACAGAGTGATGGGATAGGATAGGCCGAGGGGGTAGGCGGGGAGAAGCAGAAAATTTTGCAAATGTGGCAGCCAAATCATCTTCAGTCACCCCCCTCCCCTTCTTCTCATCTTGCCCGTTATCCTTGGTTCGCCATCCTCGTTTTCTAGTCTAGTAATCCTCTCTCTGTTCGTCCATCGCCATTGGGATATTAGCAGCGTTCGCCGTTCACCGATGCAGGGGACTTGGGCTATACGTGCACAGAGAAGGCACGACGTGGACGTGCGTTGCAATACTGATGAAGACGTTGATAAGAAGACACTTCTATCATCCAAATGTATCTGATACATCGACCTCCTATCTATCTCATCCCAGCAGCATCTTGGACATTGACATCTGCCTGATCCCCGACAGCAGCAACCTTTCACCGTTTCGCCTCGTCTTGTTTCGGTCGATTGGGTCCCGTGCCATGCCATCCCCTCCCATCACCTCTATCCTGAGCAGTGAACGATGGCATAAGCTGGCAAGATTTAGTATCAGAACGCAATACGGTGTACCGTCCATCTTGGACCGCAATGACAATATGGAATTTTACCCCTCACTCGAGGTCAGACGCCTACTAACGACGCGAAGGAGCTCGGCGGCGCAGATGGGGAGGGAACGGACAGAGGTAATGGAAATGTATGAATGGAAGGGGAAAGAAAGATGTCGGGTATCAGAGGACGGGGTGGTCCTTCGTCGTCTGGCCATAATGGGTTCGCTGCCTTCAGCGGACGTCTCGAGAAGAATCTCCAAGAGCGAGACGAGTACCCCCAGAAACTAGACGAGCGCCGGTGAGAGTAAGACTCCGACTCCGACTCTCGCTGGTAAGGACATAGAGGTGGAAGGCGAAAAGTGAGCGAGTAAAGCGGAAGGTGGTAGGAGGTGTTAAGGAGGCAGACGGGCTAGTGTGTGTGACGGGATGAGCCAAGGAGAAGCGGAATATCGCTGTTTAGCGGTCGAGCATTACAATCCCGAAGCAGCTGTGGATACGGAGAAACCCTGTCGTCACCTCTATTGGATACTGCATCAACCTCCTGCATCCGGAACACCGTTTTCACCCTGTGCTGATCCTCAAAGTCAGAGAAGAATCTTTCGTGTTTTCACGTCACTCCGTTTCAGCAGTTCCTACTGCATTCCCCTCCCTATCCTCGGTTCTGGGTGGTGGATGTTATGTGTTGTTGAAGTCTAGGATTTGGGATCAGTGCCCCAATGTGGCGGACCATCCACCTTTAACCGCAATGTAATTTGAGATACCTGCCGCTCAAGTTCAGATATCCGCGTCGATTCGTAACTGCAAATCTTGGGCTTTAATACTCTTTGGAGAGAACATTGTATTGGAGGAGGGCGTTGGGAAGTGGGATGTATTCAGATGCGCTTTTTTTAATCAATTCCTACATACAAGTCGTAATACCATGGTGGACGTGGAACTCGAATGTTGGTTTTTGCCGCCGCGATTGGTGGCTCCTATAGGAAGCCTACTAGTGGTGGAGGGCATTCTTTCAGTTACCGTTCAATAGTGTAAAGTGTATCCGACTGTAAGAAACCTAAGGATCGTCAGTAATAATAAGAACGAGCACCGTTTATGCTATAGTAAATAAGAAACTCTTCACTTATTTAAGTACCTAAGAGTCCGAGTTCGAGACTGACTCGTCACAGATCAGATACCGTGGTACTATCTGTCACAGTAACACCCCACTCGCTTTTGGCGCCGTGACCAATCCCTTGCCATCTCCTAACTACGACATTACATTCAAGCATCTCGCGACACGTCCTAGCTGAACCGACTGGAATATACCAAGAATTGTTGAGAACAATAAATTTCTTGTGGGTTGGATGTTCTAAACAGATGGTAGTGCTCCTCAAGTTACTGATCGTTAGCTTTATCGCACAGACTCATTCGTAGCATTATAGTCTAAGATCTAGACAGATCGACTGACGTTCTCATAGAGGAATATTTGTTCCTACCAAACGTTTATATTGGAGGAGGGACTCACGTGCCCGCCTCGCACCGGTCTTCTAGCCACAGTGTCGCACCCGAAATAAGGATAATCGGGTGGCTTGCGTGCATACAGTTGGTACCCGCTGTGTGCTAGTCTGTAATAATCCCTATTCACTTCCGTAGACTTCCGTAGTATAAAAGGTCCTAGGCAGAGCAGAAAAACCTCAGTCGTCTCCTTACCGACTGAGGTATGTTATATTTCCTTCTTCTTACGCTACACCATTATTAATACCCTCGCTACCTTTTAGATACTTACGTCGTCTAATAGGTAACTTATGAATTGAGTCGTCTCCTTACCGACTGAGATACTTACGTCATCTAATAGTTTAGCTATGGATACCCCTTTCAAACAGCATCTGGGTACAAACTACATCCCTTCGACAGAAGAAATCGATCAGATCAACGCATATATCTCGATCAAAGAGAAACAGCTTGCGGAAACACAACGTTCTCTCGAGGAGATCACTCGTAAAAGGGACAGCCTACGAGAGTCAGTTGAGTCCCATCGTGCGCTTGCTTCTCCTGCTCGACGACTTCCCAGCGATATCATTCAGGAAATCTTTCTGCGATGCCTTCCTTCGAAATCAGACGCAATTATCAGTTCTAAGGAAGCGCCGACTAAATTGACTCAGATCTGCAGTGCATGGAGAGATATCGCGGTATCCCTTCCGCCACTATGGTCATCTATACAGATTTCATTCGTGAAGCTCACAGATCCAAGTGACAGTGTTCCAGAAATGACATATCGTCACTACGAAGCAGTACAATTATGGCTTCAGAGATCTGGATCGTACCCTTTATCAATTTCTGTTTCGTCTCCTTGTGGCCACTGTAGTGCAGATGTGATCAACCTTTTTGCTCGACAGCTCCTGTCTGTTTCTAACCGCTGGAAAAACATTTACCTCGATGTAACTGATCATATCCTCGAAAAGCTTGAGGAAGTATCTCCAGACAATCTTTGTAACTTGGAAACACTGCAGATCCATCCTCATTACTATGATCTCGAACAAAATAAAGCGGATATCTCCACTGTATCAAAAAGTATATTATGGCAAGCTCCTAATCTTCGGGAAATAATAACAGGATACTCCGAGAAGTTTTTACATCTTCCACTATGTTGGAGTCAAATTACCGAGCTCGATTTTGGTTCACTATACTGGCAATTTAGCATTGATAATTTTACACCAGCACGAGCACTATGGCTTCTTTCTCAGACTACAAATTTAGTCAAATTCAACTTCCTCTTAGATGGAAGCGAAGATTGTAAT